AGGATTCAAACAGTAGAAAATACCATCAGAATTGAAGAATACATAGAATAGGATGAAGTTCCACAAGAAGAGCCTTCTTCGTGATCCCACTAGATTGATCATAACCCTCCTTAACAGGAAGGACCCATAGCATTCCCTGCCTCCCTGCCATGGTAAGTCAGATAGATGTGATGAGAAAAGGACATCACATCACCTGATTTACCAGATATTCACATAACCTGGTCCCAAGCCATGTAGGACTTTGAAGTGAGAAGCAGCACCTTGAATTGGATCTGGAAACAAACTGGCAGCTAATGCAGCCCCTTGCAGGAGAGGTGACATATGTGCACAGCTACACCCGCACAAAATAATGCCGCCCACTGCATTTTGAACCAACTGAAGCTTGGAAAGCAAAGGAAGTACGAGAGAAATATCGGGCACACAAAAGCACAGATCCTGACTTTGTAGGGCTCATATCCACCAACACAACCAATGATCTAAAGATGTCTTCCAGAGCATAAAATACATATATAGAATGAATTCTCCTTTTATTATTTTTCAAAGAAATATAAATGCTTATTATAAATCCACCAAAATCAATATGTTCTTTAATATTTTCAAGTGCCTCCAAATGCCATCTTTCAGGAAATTAGCTTGTTTGTTTAGTAAAAGACGAGAAACATCACAACAATAAAAGAGAATAATAGTTGACCACAAGCAATAATAAAAACTATCCTTCTCACACAACACACAATCCAAAGGGGCCTAATAACTAGCCCAAGGCCTGAGGGAAGATGCAGGTTTTTTAAAACTCAATTACAATGCAGAGGAGCAGTGTAACATATTGTACTTATTCAACTTAAAGACACTGTCCAACTGCAATCAACTCTGGCCCACTCACAATTGAAATCTCTGAGGAAATGTTGTTCCAGAGGGTAGATGCTATGCTACAGAAGACATGCTTTGTGGGTCTTATTAAAAGATATTGTTTAATTGATGGAAACTGGAAAACTCTGCCTGATCATACAGGATGGTCAGAAACCATGGGAGACACAGTTCCTTAGACATCTAGGCATGATGTTATCTGGCTTTATAACAAGAAACTTCAATTCCATAAAAAAAGTCTGTTGTTATTATTAAGAATAACAATCCCTGCTGTTAAGCAGTACAACTTGTAGACCACAGATGTTATATGACAGGGGGATCACACTCAATTTCATTGAGGGCTGCATCAGGGTTGGTGTTTGATCTCAGGGAGCCAGACTGGATATGGCCAGCTCGACGTCACTCGTGTCGGGGGTGCCTGTGGCGGCCTGAGCACTCTGCCAGCAAAAACGGTTCCCAAGCTCCATTTTTGGCTGTGATGGTATCCTGCAACCTCTGCCAGCAAAAACGAAGCTCGGGAGGGATGCACACGGCCCTCGCGACCTCTGTTTTCACTGGCAGAGGCACTGCAAGCCAGTCCTTTGCTCTTTCCAGAGTGGCCCTGCAGGTCAGATCAAAGCATCCCGCAGGCCAGATCCAGCCCATGGGGCCTTAAGTTCGACATACCTGTCATATGGTTATTATGAAACCTGCACATAACTGTTCACACTACTACATTCTGGGCCAAGAGCAATTTCTCAGTAATATTGGAGACAATCCCCTATAAACCACATTGCAACAGTTCATGTACAAGGTTTCCAGAATAGTTAACAGAATCTCACTGTGGAACTGATGTTTCAAATCACTAGTTAAGAAATTATTGGAAAGACAGCATAATGCTCGGGGAAAAAAATCTCCATTTTAAATAAAATTATTTTGCCTTGAGGTAGGATGTTGAACTTGATGACTTCCTGGATTATATCATTTCAAAACAGTATATTGTAATTACTTGTGCAAATCTGACGCAATTTGATAAATAGGAGAATATCCTGACTAAGAACTTGTCTAAAAACAATGTATTAGATATGTTATCTCATTGCTCACCTTTTGCGGTGGCAGCTTCCTGAGCCAAACTATGTTTTATTTTAGCCATAGAACTGCTAGTGAAAAATGTCAAGTTCTGGTTTTACGCTCAGATAATCAAATAGTGGCATGCAGCCTCTCAGCCAGGATGGCCTCTCTCATGTCTATGTCACATTGACCCTATTTCATAGCAATACTAAGCCAGCATAATTGAATTTAAATCCGGGTAGTATTTTTGGAAGGATTTAAAGCAAAAAAAAGTGGGGGGTGAAGAACTGTGGAAACTATAAACAGTTTCCAAAATATAAGTTCCACTAGGAGCAACGTCACCCACTACTCACGGGATCTCTAAAGGTAACGTTTGCAGGTCACACTAACTTTCAGATTCTTAAGGGGACATTTATGTATTTATGCGCTGAATCACACTAAGATTCTTTGTCGGAAATAGTATGTAGGCAGGCCGAATCGTGCTGAATGCCTTTCTATAGGCCATATAACAAACCTGGGTCATGTGTATTCATTTTCATAGTGGCTTCAGATAGATTTCATATTTTAGATAAGATGATGGAAATCTTATTTAAATGAAATGGGCCTCAGAATGCTTCAGAGGAGGTGTAATTTTAAGCCCTCTTTACTCTGTAGTTTACAAATATTCCAGTTCAGAGATTAGTCCTAGATGAAAAATGACCACATTTTTATCTTTTGGGGGCAACCACACCCATTTGCCATTCATCAAAGTTTTTCTTGTTAAAAATCAGCTTTCTGTTGGAAAAAAAATCATACTTCATTGATAATATATTTCCAGCTTAAGCCTGGAACACTTGAAGTGACTAAAAACAGCTGACCCACCCAATCAGCAGAGAATAATAAAAATAATTCCAGGTTTTATATGAACTTAATCCTACCCAATACTTAATATAATTACAGGGTAGATTTGAATAAGTGAACGTTTGCAAGAATCTCTTATTTATTCACTCAATGTTTTCATTACAACAGTAGAATTTGCTCCTGTGTCAAGAGGGAGTATAATACTTCTGTATGTTACACATAGCTTGTTTAGATACAGGTCCGACAGGAAATACATTTTTTTAATAAACATAATTTTATAATATAGGAGACTATAACATGATGTTCTATCATTAGTAATATAACTCTATTGCTTTCATGAATATATGTAACATAAACACACTTTTTCCTCAAAAATGATTTTCAGATTTGGAACGCTGATTGATTTATGATGTATGCTCTCCTCTTATCCACACTGCAATCTATGCAATGTGTTAGGCACAAACAAAACCCACAGACGCAGAGTTCAAGCTAACTACTTTATTTTGTACTTTTATAATACAAGAATCTGGCAGCCCATTGCTGGGAATAGTTAGATGAGTTTCCAAGAAACTTAGACGGGATTGGCCCTAGCCTTTTGTGGTTGCATAGTGACTCCAAATTAGCCCTGTGCTTGATCCCTCCTCCCTGCCAGGGCGGATGCTTCCCAAATATCGGAACGGGAAAAATTGCCACAGCCAACTTGCTGTGGCCAACTCACCACGGCCAACTTGCTGTAGAACAACTTAACAATTCTATTTAATTATTTAAAATAAATAAAAATGGTTTTAATTTTTGCCATTCACATTTATTCTGTCCTCCTTTTGTATTTAACGATGCTATTCCACTATCTCTTTGACGTTAACGTAATTCTTGTCCCATGGTGAGTTGTCCTGCTGGCTGTGGTGTGTTGTCCCACAGCAAGTTGGCGGTGGCAACTCTCTGTGGGACAACTTGCTGGCCGTAGTAAGTTAGTCATGGCCAACTATCATGGACTCTCCCGACATCTATCACATTAATGGGTTAAAAAGCCAGACAATTCATTGGTAGTTTTTTTTTTAAGCTGCTGAATACATAAATGTAACACTTAAGTGTTTAAAAGGAAACAAGATGGCATTTCTTTGGTTGAAATAGCCACTGATTATTTCATTCTCTCAGCTTTGTGCACTTCAGCAAAAGCCTTGCTGACATGCTTACACTTGTGTCTTAAAAGAGTTTCGGAAAGATTGCAAGGTTCTGAAGAAACATTGTGCTACCTGCAGTAATGACAGCTCTTTCAGAGAGGGACCATGTGAAAAGCACACCTGCTCATGTGGAATAGATCCAAGCATTATCGCTTTCCTTATGTATTTTTTATAGAGATGCACATGTACATTTTGCAACCCTATTATTTGCAAGCAAAGGTATTTAACGCAAATAAAAGCAAAGTTATTAGAGAAACAATACATTTCTATCTTCTGCCATAAATCAGGGGGAAATCTAGTAGCACCTTTGTTTAATTAACAAATTGATGGCTTTTAATAATTTTTGTAGCCAGAAAAGTTGCTATCAGACTCCTCCTGATTTGGGGCTACCATAAACTAACAAGATTTTCCTCCTACAAAATATAAGTAACATATAATGGCCTGAGTGATGTCTTGAATTACCAATACCATTTGATTGTATACACCTGCTTGTTTATTCTTATATTATATTTGTAATCCATTTTTAATACCTTTGTAATTACAGACTTTGCCATGGGTATGTAAATGATTGAATTGAATTATATTAACCATGCTGGACATTGATTTTCTTTCTACTTAAAACTCAACTATCTACTAACCAATGCCATGTTATATTATATCACTTGCTCCAGGATAACAGCATTTATTAACATTTTAGAGAAACGGTGAATAACTTCCCAAAGCTTACGTTTAATTTGAAGGATCTAATAAAGTATGCCATAAGCATAGCCGTAAAATAACAATAAAGCTTGATATTTTCATGCTTTCTTACAATTAAGCAGTTGAGGACCTGAAGGCAATACAAAATTTGAGTGCAAGGTTTATTTGCCCAATTTTTAATGAATACCATTTTAAAAAAAGAACATTGGCCTTAAAGTCCACAGAGCCCACTTAATTTTATACAATGCAAATGAAGCCATCATAGGTTCAGCAAAGCGCTACAGAGGAAGAATAGAACATCATGATGGGTAAAATAGATCCTCATGCTTTCATATGTTACAGTGGAGACTTTCTGAAAGGACTTACGGGATTGTACATCTGATTGAACAATTGTTCAGCTTGCTACATTGCAAAGGTGGGAAGAATGAAGCACAGACAGGAAAAGAAGGAAAGATCCAGGAAAATAGTATTAGCTTAGCAAAACTGGCATATTTGCACAGAAGAACTTGGAATTTAAAAAAGAAGAAGAAATTTTAAGTTTCTAAGCATTCCTTACTGAATGTGAGAAGCTCTAGGGAAAAATAACTGTTGATTTTGGCTCATAGAAAAGAATGGCTAGAGTACAAAATCCAAGGACTGTGTTACTTTTCCTTTCTCAAATGAAATAATCCATGAAATACAAAAGCTGTCCACTGCTGATGATACATTAAGTGCTGGTTTCTAGCAATGAATCATTAGAAGTGTTTTTGGCCAAGGCTGCAATTTATCATCAAAGGTTCAAAGATGGTAATAAGAAAGATTAATTAGACTTTATTGTTAAATGTAGAGCTTTCTTTTCATATTAAGATAAAACTTAATTTCCATTTTATTTGAATATAGAATATTGTATAGCTAAATTAGTAGTGGCCACATCTAAGAAGTGATGGAAAATTATAGCTGATAAATAGAAAGGCAGTGATATAACATTGGAAACAGAAACATCTTCTGAAATAAACACCAGCAAGTTATTTTTTTGTCATAACCTCCTATGCATGTATCAACAGTGCTTTCACAAGTATGGTACCACAGCCCAGTGCAAGGATCCAAGGAGGGTCAAAAAAGTCAAGATGGAAGCCATGAACATCATGCCCCTTTTTCTGCGTGTTAATTGTGTCATCCCAGACAGCTCTGTCACCCAAATTTATTTTTCCAGTAACTAACTTTACATTAGAAACATTCTTCAGGATTTCCACTTCAAGTTTTAGATCCATGCTTCAAACAGGAAAGGTGAAGCCTCATAATTTGGTGGGTCTTGCTTTCATAATGTTATCCTAAGATTAATTTAGGTTCCATTTGATCTGTTCCTGGTTTCCCAAAATAAAAATATGGAACTAGCAGGTGTGTGTGTGTGTGCGTGCATGTGTGTGTGTGTGTGTGTGTGTGTGATACATTTCTTCACTTTAAACTAACTCCAGAAAGTTTCATTTTTTATTTCTTATAATCATAATAATTTCTCCTTTTACAACAGATAAGCAACAGTTTAGCTTCCTCATACCTTTAATTTCTAGACCCATCAGTTTTCATTGTTCTAAGAGAATTTTTTAAAAGGGATATACAGTATGTTAGGAATTAAACATTTTGACTGTTGACATTATCATTAGAAACCAAATGTCCCAAATCAGTGATTTTCTTAAAACTGAAATGCCTCCATTTCAAGATAACCATTTTCTTCTAAAGGATTACTTGAATTTAATGTCACCAAATAAAATATAAATCAAAAATTATCATTTGTTGATAATTATTATTCACAATCTATGTTTTCCTTCAAGCAATGTAGATATTAGCTTTAAGATGTAAATAACATGATGAAATGTGGGGGCGGGGGGCATTCTTAAGCCTTCTTTTTTCATTCAGAAAAAAAAATCTGGAGAAAAAACAACTTCAAAAAACAAAACAAACCCCTGATCTGTCTCTAGGTTAAAGTTCTGCAGAAAAATGATGCTGCTGTAAAATAAATCAACCAAAATGTTACAAAAGTTGAATAAGGCAAAAAGGCTTCATAGATTAATATTCTGGTCCATTAATGGTCAACAAGTGGTCAACTTTAACCAAGTATGAACAGGGGTCCCATCTACTCACATTCCCCACTAACTATATCCATTGTCAAGAGTTTGCTAATTTCACAAATTCCTGGTTTATTTCTGAAGCCACAATTGGGACCTGAGTTGTAGGCAATGCTGGTTTAAATAAAAAAATATATATACAAGAATTTATATTAATTTGAAGTGGACAGTCTAACACTTTAAAATCATATTTCGTTTCCCAAAGCTAGCATGGTATAATCTAGCAAGAAGAGTTCTGAAGACCTTCCGTGACTGCAGTAATATGCAAATTTCTAAGGAAGAATAATTGCCACACATAATTTAAATATAGCGTTAAGGGCCCAAATATGTTATGGATATCAAATCTATAGTGGTGCACTAGATGTATTTTGTGCTATATTGAGTTTACCAGATTACTTCATATCAAAGTTTAATTGGCTGACAGTGATTAGGTGTATTGCTATATTTTGTTTTTAGTATGCTATTTTGAACTGCAAAGCATCAACTGCAGTTTAAACAGGAGTAGAATATTCTTTTATTTTGTACCCAGATACCATGTACAATGTGCATAAAACCTTAAACAGTATCCTTGTTTTTAATGATTACTCACATTATATATTTCTTTCCAAGGTATCATGAAAGCCAGGAAACAGCCAAATTTAAACATTAAATACTCCCTCTTCAGTTAAAGCATTGTACCTTGATTAATTCATTGGCAACATGGCTATTTACAAATTGTGAAACGCAAACATGATACTTAAATCAAGAAATATGCCATGAGTTTGTCTTTCAACAAAGACTACATATAATAGTAACTGACATATGGATAAGTAAGGTATGATACTAAATGCATTAATATAATTCTAAAAATTATTTTGATAATTATTAGTTCAAATGTGATTAGAAGTGCTAGACAACATCCAATATTCAATTATATATCAATAGTTTTTTTCCCTTATGAACAAATCTAAAGCACTACTAATAAAAAAAAAGTTCTTCTACTTTAAGCTTTTAACAATCCTTTGATAACAATACATGAGATGCAAACAGTTTAACTAACTAAAAAGACTTTTTAGTGTAAAAATTGACAAAGCATCATGTCAACATTTCAAATCATTAATATTTTCAGCTTTAAACTAACAGAAACTAACATTTACAACTACAAAAAATGCCACCATGGAACTAGAGTAATAATCACTAATATTCCATCATGCTTACCTTTTGCAGTTGTGCTTCTAGCTTACTACACTCTTCCTTCTTTTGCTCTATGGCTATTTCTAAAGTCTTTAATTTGGAGTCTCTTTTCAGCCCTGCTGAAGCCAACGATGATGCATGTTCTTTGAGGTCAATTAAGCTAGACTAGGAAAAAAAAGATATGGGAGACAAATTGAAAGTGGGGATTACCAGAAGATACTAAATTGATTGCAATTGCTAGTAAATCTGTCATGGTAGATTTGGACTGTGAGAGATATAGTTTTCTGATGAGTAGTAGTGCGAATACCTCAGAATCTATTGGTTGAAAGCAAGAAGTCTACCTACAATGTATTCACATGGAGGCAGAACTTATAGATAATCTTCTTTGGTTTTTTTATTAGTCAAACAAAAGAAATAGAGCTTCAGTTCCATAATCAAAGCCACCATATGTTCGACACTACTCTGTATGATCTTTGCCCACATTGCCCCATTCTGAACTACCTAACTAATTAACCATCAAATAGACCACAAAACAGCAGTGGAACCAAATGCCTAGCTATGTCATTCTAGAATTCCTTAGAATCACAATTTTTTTCACGAAGGATAACAATTAAGTATTCCCTCACCAAGTATATTTAAGTTGCAAGAGTGAAGGTTCCCTACCATGGTGGAGAGAAGGGAAAAATAGGTATGCAAAAGGAAGTTGATTGTGTTAAAATGCATATTTCATGTCCACTCAGCAACCTCATCCTAAATTTTGAAACCAAAATGTAATTTATTCTGTTTTTCAACAAAAATAAAAACAAACTTTCCCACCTTCATCTCTGAGGATAGGATTCTACAATCTTACAAAGATAACACTGACAAGATATTTCACTCATTGCTATCTTTAAAGGTGGTCTCTATTGATAACATCAAGGCTTAAATAGAAAAAAGTCCTCTTTCAGATACCACAGTCCAAAGAAAAAAGAAGCCTTTTGATTTGGACTGGCAAATGTTGCAAGAACCAGTAAAACAATATTACAAAATACTACTATGAAATATAACTAAAATATAAATTGCAACTAATTGCAAGCCAAGATTTTAATTTGTAATATAGACAAATTCGGACCTAATCAAAGCTTTTAGAAATAGCCCCATGCATAAAGTCTTATAGTAAACTAACCAGCATTAATATGCAGGTTTCTAGAAAGAAAAAATAATGGAATTCAGTCATTGATTGTGTTGGCTCTTTTAAGACACCTCTTAAACCATTATCTCCCTTCCTTCTCTAGTCCTGTGCAATCTCTATAAAATCATTTACACATTTATGGGACCTTTTTGAAAAATATAATAATAGCATAAAGAAGGTAGTGAAAAGAAGTGAAAATCATCCCTACTTAGTAGAATCCATGCTAAATCCAGACTAATTGTGTTCAAGGAAGAACACATCTACCCAGTAGATAAAATAGCAAGGTTGTTCTGCTTTGCTTAAGTTTGACAAATCTGTCACCAGGAAATATCTGTGCAGCACATACCCATATAGCTTTTTCAGCATTGGTACAGAAAACAAATTCTTCTTCCAGATTATTTTTTCAACATTACAATCTAGTCTATGGCTCTAGAATATCCTATGGTATTCCAACGGTGTCCTCTCCATATTTTACTATTAGCTTTTGCTAGAATGTTGGTTGGATTCCACCATATCCTATGACAATGTTTATAAACAGATGCGTAAAAATGGTAAGATTGCAAAACTATTCAGTTTGAAGTACGATAAATAGTCTTAATAACCAACGTATAACATTTACGTTGCTTGTAAAGGTTTGATTCTTTATAAAACTAGAATCCCTACAATAAAATGTTTTATTAGTTGCAAATACTGACCTCTTTTTCTGTCAGCTCTGCTTGTAAAGCATTAACTTTTTCTTTCAGATCTTTGTTTTCTTTTTTGAAGGATTCAACCTCTTCAATTCTTTCACGGTCATCTCTCTCCCTCTGCTCCTTTAATCGCTCTATAATTCTCTCCTAAAAGCATAAAAAGGTGGCTATATTTTAAAATAGAAGCAGCAGCTTGAAAATTCTGTGAACATAAATGAAGCTAAAAATGCACTATATTGCATTTTCAATAGAAAATCAAGCATGGTACTCAACAGCAGAACATACATAACACAGCCATAATAGAAGCAATTACACATTAAGTCAGAATTTCTCCAGTGTCACCCACCAGGCTCAAGTGCTGATTAACAACTAAAATGTTGGATGAGGGAGAATTCAGGTGCTTGAGAATTCACGTTTGCTGTCTAAGACAGGTAGAAAAAGCAGGCAATCCACTGAGCTCCTAGTAAGAGGCTATGCAAAGCTGGGTAGTGTAGAATTTAGAACTTAGGAATGGACTCTTGATTGAGAGCCGAGGTGGTGCAGTGGTTAGGGTGCAGTACTGCAGGCCACTTCAGCTGACTGTTATCTGCAGTTCAGCGGTTCTAATCTCACCGGCTCAAGGTTGACTCAGCCTTCCATCCTTCCGAGGTGGGTGAAATGAGGACCCAGACTGTGGGGGCGATATGCTGACTCTGTAAACCGCTTAGAGAGGGCTGAAAGCCCTATGAAGCGGTATATAAGTCTAACTGCTATTGCTATTGCTATTGTCTCTGTAAATAACTTCTAGTAGGCCATTTTTGATAATTGATGGGTAGGGTTTATTTAATTAAAGAAACTTGATTAATGAAATAAATGGGAGAATGTAAGAATAGATTTGAAAGAATGTAAACTTAACTTTCTATAATTAATTCTACAATGTACCATGTTTTCCAAAAATAAGTCAGGGTCATATTTTCTTTTGACCCCCGAAATAAGCGCTTGGCCTTATTTTCAGGGAGGTCTTATTATTTTTGAGGTGCAGGAGGTGTCAAGCGTGGTCACCTCATGGCTAGTGCTGTGTTGCAGTATTTTCGGGGAGGGTTTATTTTCAGGGGAGGGCTTATTTTAGCGCATCCGCTCAAAAGCCCAATTGGGCTTATTATCCAGGGAGATCTTATTTTCAGGGAAACAGGGTAGCTCTTCACTTTTCACGAAGGAATAAATAATTATTGTCAATGTGATGATATTCCAGACCAAACTAACATGCTAAAGAAGGAACCAAGCAACAGTCCCCTTCTCAGAAGCCAAATAAGCAATATACTCAAGAGGGGAAAAATACATACTCCACTTGAAAAGGTATACCCTTAAAAGAGTGTGCAAATATTTGTGTTTCCCTAATAACCTTAGCCCTTTTCTTCTGTAGTACATTATGGTACATCACACAAAAGTGCTTTCTGTTTGATCAGTACTATGGCAAAGCTATGTATCATACTAGATGTACAAATATATAACTAATGTTAATATTATTGTGAGATTTTTAACATTCAAGTGAAGCCATTTATTTAACCAACTAATCAGGTCTCAGTCAAGGGACTTCCCAAGTGTACACACTGGGAGATTTTTGACATAGAAAAACAATCATCTCTAATACCAATGATCTTGAAATAAGAATGTTGATACAGAACAGGCATTATTAGCTACTGCATTTTAAAAGCATTCTCATAGAAAGGCTGAAAATCCTTAGATGGATAGAAATGATGAGCTGCACTAATTAAGGCAACCATACAATATTGGCAAATTTAGATATTACTTGCCTATCAAACAGAATGCAAGAATATTCACTTATTATTGGCTATTATTGCAACATTAACCCCAATCCCACCCTAACTGAATAACTAATAGTCATACTTACTTCCTGTGTCTAGAGTTCCTGGCAGTAGAATTATAAACACCAAATTTGCTGCACCCATATTTAATTGATATAATCAAGGAGTCTCCATTTTTGTTAACTATCTTTACTGTCCACTCTTTTAAAGGTTGCACTAATATAAGTTTCGACAGCATTAACTTTTTCAAGATTCACTTTATCCAAAGAATAAACACCACAAAATAGGTACATCTCTATTGTCAATGCCTATATACTAATACACCATACAATATAGTAGACAGTGACAACTACTGTTCCAAATGCTTATTGCATCTGCCTCTTGCATCCCAAAAGATATGAAGTAGTCATACCCTATCTAGATCTCAGCTCATCTAGATAGTTAACTTTGCCAGTTTGCTTACCAGTAGTGTATATCAAAGCTATTGAGAGATATTCCAAAATTCTGATAACCTAGGAAATTTAAAGATTCCTACTTTATCTCTAAACCAAGTTTTCCATTATATTTCTTATCAAACAATCTACTGGCTAACATATGTATTCTACAGATTCTGTACCTGGAAGATGGACTTGATACATCAGCAATATCTCTAAACAGAAATGTCGGTCTCACTTTGTAATCCTTCTTATGAAAATTATTGAAGTGGCAACTGAATTGCTTCTCCAGAAGATATTGCCCTTTAACCAAGGAAAGTTCTACATTGAACTGTTCCAGATATGCCCCTGTTTTTATTTATAAAATGCTGGAAGAATTGGATGCATGTGAGTTGGGCAGCCATATAAATATTTAATAAAGACATACATAAATAATGATTTTCCCAAATGTATTGTGGCAGATAATTTATTTGGTGAAATAAATTTAATGAAAAAAAATAAATATTTTATCCGAATTTATTTTAGAAAATATTTGAAAATTTCATTGCATATGCCAACATGATACATCTGGATACAAGAAATACTTTGGGGACAGATGTTAAATTCTCATGTTTATAGGGAAGATCAGTTGATAACGAACAATTAAAGTTTATTTAGCAATATTGTTATATAGATACAAAATGTAAGTCATAAATTGTTCATCAGCAAAAGCTATATCAAATTGCAGGACTGTAGAGAAAATCTGCCACCATCTCTTGTTATGTGTTTGTTTTGTCTTTGATAATAGCTTTCTTTTCCTTTCAATTCTGTCCAGCAGTCAACTGTCCCTAATATTCCCGGTTTTCTTTTATTTCTGCTTGTAGGGAAGTGATCATTTTGCATTCTATCCAAATACAAATTATCCTTACATCACATTTATTACTAAAACAGTGGAAATTTTTAATTTTAAGCGTGAAAAGTTACTGTAGATTAATTTGTTAAGAGCTTCCCTTAACTATAGTTTGAGAATGACCTTTTCTGGACTGAAAACGATAAAGTGATAAAGTTCTTAAGACTGTCCAATGAAAAGACTCTTGTAATACTTAACATTACTTGTTACCATATGTAAAATAATTAGGCTTTGGGGGGAAGGAAATAATGAGAACTTCTTGTAGAAAAGAAAAAATGAAGACAACTAAAATGAGAACATGTGCAAAAGAGTATATAGGCACTCTTCTTTTTTGCTAACTTGTAAAGCTTTTGTTTCTTGGAGAAGTGAACTGTCAGAGAAGATATGGGTCAAATGGAGTAGAAATACTAATCCTCAATTGTCTAATTAAGGTAAAGGTTCCCTTCACATATATGTGCTAATCATTCCCAACTCTAGGGGGTGGTGCTCATCTCTGTTTCAAAGCAAAGAGCCAACACTGTCCGAAGACATCTCCATGGTCATGTGGCCGGCATGACTAAATACCAAAGGTGCACAGAACGCTGTTACCTTCCCACCAAAGGTGATTCCTATTTTTATACTTGCATTTTCATGTGCTTTCAAACTGCTAGGTTGACAGAAACAGGAGCTCACTCCGTTACACAGTGCTAGGGATTCTAATCACCGAACTGCTGACCTTTCTGATTGACAAGCTCAGCATTTTAGCCAGGGAGCCACCACGTCCCTCAATTGTCTAATTATATTTTCCTAAACTATTTCTAATCAAATATTTTTCTAATGTATTTCTTATCAACCACACTATTGGCTGTTTTAACTATGCTATCCCAATATTTAGCATTTGAAAAACGTTCTTGACCCACAATAATGTGAAATAGCTACTTGAGTCTGACTTGGGTCCCTGTGATAGTCCTCAAGAAAATCAGGGCCAAACAGAAAATGAAACCCATCGACTTAAACAAATCTCTATTTCATCCCTTCTCCAACATTGCAACTATTTTCTCTACCTCATTTGTAATCTTAACATAGATAACTCAATCCTATCTTTTGACAGTGCAGTATTATGGAAGAGCAAAGACAAAGGACAGCTTTTCATTACATTTAGGCACAAAGTGATCCAATTTGCACTTTTCAAAGTTATACGCAAACTAGGATACAGTCCTTGCCAGATTTTTTTTACATTTTGTAATGCAGCTCACAATTTTGCAACCTATACAAATGTATATGTTGAGAGAAAATGCACGCCAATATAGGCATATGAGAAAAATTACATAAAAGTTTGTACATTGAGGAAAAAATTATCCATTTGGGGGAAATGTATGCAACAATGCATATACAATGTTATGTGGCTTAAAAAAGTATTAAAAAGAACAAAAACTAGAATAGGAAATAAAAAATAGAAAACTAAGCACAATGGAAAATAGCAAATTCTCCGGTGCATATGGGGGAAAAAACCTCTCACAAAATACTGTGAATGTCTGTAGGCAGGTTTAAAGTTATCACTTAAGATTAATTTGACAGCGACACTTGTACATTTTAGTTATTATTTTTCCTAGTCTATTGACTGAAATCTAGTTCTGCTGTCAGTCACACATTCTACTGAATGCTGAACATCATAATTCACCAACACAAAACAAAGAGGACTTGAGCTGCAGTATCTCTGAGCTAGGTGGTGACTACGCTTGTTAAAATGCTTTTAGACATCCTGTTTTGGATGTTTAACCACAAATATAATGAAATTGCAACAATGTAGCCTTTCTAGTCTTATTTTGTTTGGCAAGCATTTGTGGGTTTATATCTCTCTTCTTACAAGTCTAATCTAATGTCTTTTTCCCCCACAAAAGCAAACAGGAACTAAATCACGGAGACCAAAAACTCTGTATCAGGATGCATCAAAGCTGTGACTTGCAACAACATCAGCAATTCAAAATTTTTACCAACATGAAACTGTTGGGCCAATCAGAACTGTGGGTGAGAATGCCAAAGCTGTAATCTTTTAGCTGTCCAGGCGCTTACAAATACATGTTTGGCACCTTAGGAAATGAATTCCTTGTGTTTGAAGACAGAAATCGCTACTAACCCAAACAGGATCGATGAATCCTGAAGATCTTTATAGTTTTTGTACATGATTCATCATTTAGGAGAGATTTCTGTGTCCAAAGGTCCAGCCGGTGGAACATTCTGAGCCAATTCTAAAAAGAAACTCTAGAAGAAAACAAGAGAACCTACCTTCTCAGAGAGAGCTTCTTCCAGGGTAGCTAGAGCTGTATCTGTGTTACTGGAATCTGTCTGTAGTGATTTCACACGATCTTTCAAATTAGTTAGTTGCTTGTCTTTATCTCTAAGTTGCTCCTGAAGGTTTTCGATCTTTGAGGGGAGAGGGGGAGAGGCAAGATAATGAAACGTTTCTTTATCACAGAAGGCACGGTTTAAGATTTCATGCTATCCTAACAAAACAAAGCATATGTCAGATGCTTCGTTCTGGAAACCAGAACTAGAACATGTAGTCTGAAATTTATATTTAAAATCAACGTATCATCCTTTTTGGTCAAATATACTGTAAGGAAGAGACTTGCATTTCAACCTGATTTAGCACAGCGTGTTTTTTTCAAGACCGGAGCTAAAATAAGAGTGCTGTAGATCTTTTGAAAGGTAATCTGGCTTTGCTAGATTACCTGGAAAGTTTTCTCCCTTTGTGCCCCTTATTCAGACACTAATTAAGTGCAGAGTTATTGCTAGTTAACATTTCCATATTTCTTAATTAAATAGAATGATTCACCCAAAATAAAATAAAAAATCATTATCATTTAGCATTATCACAGTGCCACACAACCTTATGATGATACATGATGCAGCTACACCAGGGGTCAGCAACCCACAGCTCTGGACCCGCATGTGGCTCTTTCATCCCTCTGCTGCAGCTCCCTGTCACCGGTTGGCTCCACAACTGATAGGGCTTTTGGTTAGGACAGGTACAGGGAAAAGGACACCATGCTAAGAGGAGACTCTAGGGTGGGGGAAACCAGACTTCCAGTCGGCAGAGGAAAAAGGACACCGCGCTAGGAGGAGACTCTATGGTGGGGGAACCGGACTTCCAGTCGGCTCCAGAATTGAACAGGGGCTTCTGGTTAGGACCTTTGTGGCTCTTTGAGTGTTTAAGATTGCCAACCCCTGAGCTACACCAACAGTTGATAATAATCAAAGTATATGGAATCCAATGAAGAATATTGAATTCACATACAATGTGTCCCTCTACAGTCATTTGTGCTTTCAAATTTCACCTAGGGTGGTCCCATATAGCTATTAAATACCATAAAATTATCTCCCTCAATTTGGAACCCTCCAGAGATGTGATACAGTGTAGATCAATGGTGAAGTTATTATATTCTAACTTGTGAATGAGATCTACAGTACCTTAAAACTTTATTGCATTGGGATGGTTGCATAGTTAGGCTGTCATTGGCTACCTTTGCTTTGCAGTTTCTTTATAAGCTTTTATATCCAAGCTGAGATATAATGAGAAAGTAAAACTAGCTTCACATTCTTAGCTGGAAATAATCTGATTGCAGAAGACTTGAGTAGTATTATTTTGTCAATAAATCATTTGAAGGAATATATTAGGCAGAAGTATTCCTCATTTGCAATAAAATATCCACCCCATCCCAAATGTCATATACTTTCTAGATTGCAATGCCTGACATAAATTGCAAACATATGATAGAAATTATTTTGGGAATCCCCAAGAGACAGAATTGTGCCATGTCATGAACCTATAAGTTAAAGTGATGGGGGGCAAAGTAGAAGTTGCATCTATTTGCTGTACAGTTCAAAAGTAAAAAAGGTTGGGATACAAGAAAAATGTCTATGACACTCCAATAGCGTAAAAAAAAAAGAATTAAGCAATATAAGTAGTGCATTACTACATTTTATTTTCAACAGTACAAAATGATTTTTTAAATTTAAGCAGATTTCTGTTCTTTCTTTATGTATTTGGGGAAATGGGACAAAAAAAAGAAGAAAAAATAACAGAAACAATGAGAAAATGGAGCACTTAAGTAAAACAAACTAATATTGCCAAAAAAATCTTGATCGATGTAAAGAACATTAATGACAAATTCAGGTACTCCTCGACTTACAACAGTTAATTTACTGACTGTTCAAAATTACAACTGCTATGAAAAAGTGACTTATGACCGTTTTTCACACCTATGATGGTGGCAGCATTTCCACAGTCATGTGATCAAAATTCAGATGCTTGGCAACTGACTCATATTTATGATGATTGCAGTGTCCCACAGTTATGTGATCATTTTTTGTGACCTCACAAGCAAAGTCCATGGGGTAGCCAGATTCACTTACCAACCATGTTACTAACTTAACATTTGCTTAACAACTGTGGCAAGAAAAGCCATAAAATGGGGCAAAACTCACTTAACAAATGAATCCCTTAGCAACCCATTGAGCAATTTAAGGCTCAGTTATTGAGGACTATCTATGACAAGACTGTAATGATAACCTATTCAAAATAATTGCAGTGGTTCAGGAAATTATAGAGGTACTGTTACTGTTCAATTTATGTAAATCTGGTTATTTTTTTATTTTATTGTAGTTTTTGTCATCATTAAGGAAGGAGATCTCTAATAGAAGATAAGAATTTGAATGAGAACATTTGACAATATAAGCTATCAAGTTCATTGTCCTATCAAATGCTGTTCAATAAGATATATAAGAGAAAATAAACCATCCCCAAAATGTTGCTCAATATTGATATATGAAATATAGCTGATCCGTGAGCCTATAATCATTATTATTTGAATATACAACTCTGTAGTTTTAATTGTACAGTTTTGTGTATTTTTTTAAATTGACATGTTAAGCATATGAATCACAAAATAAATGCAGAAAAAATGAATTAAAAATAGGCTGAAGAGTCTCTTTAATATTCTACCTCCACCCTCCTCTGGGAAAACAGAAAAACTAAATGGATCTATGTATCTGCCAGTATAAAGAACAGATGCTTTTTATGAAGGAGTCTGTAAGTTCTTGTTTCTGTGTACACAACAGCCTTATACGGAACTATAGAAAAAAAGGCAATCAGTAAATAAATTAACAGTTTCCTTTTTTATAACATTATGCATTCTCTGTTCTCAAATCCAATGCTAACTGGTCTTCCAAACAGCATACTTCATATTTCTTTCATTTCTATGATGGATTTAACAACTATATTATGACACCCTGTGGAATTCTAAAGACACTGCACATTTTGATTCTGTCAAAATATAGATGTGAATAAATATAAGCAAAGCAATCAAACAAACAAAATGGAGCAGGGAGGAGAATATAATTTGTATACAAAGTTTGGGCATTTTTAAAATTGTCCCTGGCTATAATACATATAATAAACACCCTAAATTAATACCGTCTCCTGAGTGTTTATCTGAATTCACATGTATTTACTTTATATCAGTTCTCTTAGAAATCATGATATTACTACAAGCTTTATCTGAAACTGTGGGTCTTAAAATGTTGCACTTAGCAAAAATGCTTTCCTTAAATTTAAAGGATACGGACATTAAATTATGTGCATTGCGCTGTGTATTACACTTCCAAAAATACAATGATGAGTAGAAGATTTAGATGCTATTAACTCCAAGTTTTACATTCTTTCAGAACATCTGAATAATGTTAACATTGCTTTTTTTCCACGTACAACCTGATCTTGCTCTTAAGTTAATGTCAATAAGATGGAAATTAATAAATATATCTTTTGGGGAAAAAACATTCAGATGCTTTATCATTAAAAGGACAATACTGCAATTACATATCAAGAATATTTCTTTATTTTTTTTTAAAAAACTGAAAAACTAATTAGATAGAGGGGTGGGGGGGAACCATCAATTGTCATTGCACTGGTGTTCAATGTGTTTCTAACCAGCCTATAGCAGACATGACCAGACAAGCTAAGTATCATATGTATAATCTCCAGATGCCTTGTCTGCAATCAGATTGCACAATTGTCTATTAAAATGACTTCACATAATCCTTTGGTATGTCCATAAATGGATATAAACACATTTAGAACTGCCACTCCATCTATTAAAAATCATTAAAATCTTTCACATGCAATCTTTTCAATTATGTGTCCTGTCAATAGGTTTCTAAGTGGTAAACCTGTCACTTTTCTGGCAAACATTTCAGGAATGCTTCTTAAATGCTCAAGGGATTTAACTAAGTCTCACCTGAATACAAGTGTTACAATTTGATAGAAATTTAAGAACCCAAAAACAAAACAAAACAAAAATCCCTTGTCATTTAAGTTTTAAAAAATAGTGTACTGGAAGCTACAAGTGGTGATAAAACACAGTAATCACCAATAATTACAGATTCATGTTAAAGACTTCTTTTAAAACTTTACTTAAAAGATTAATTGGAACTTTCTCCACATACTTTTTTATGAAATCTAAAAAAAAGAGTAAACTCAAACCATAAAGGAGAATTCGACCATGAAGTTGATTTGATCTCATTTTAACTCTTCTGAGATTCAGTTTATTTTCAGACATAGTATTAAATTATGCAACGAATTAAGCAACTTTGAGGAAAATGTATTCACAACTAGCTATGATATTAATTAAAAAAACTGCTAAAAACATAGCATCATTTTCCATAACCTCTTTAATTTTACATATTTAAAAATAACACATTCTCAATTTTTTCCCAGGTAACATAAAAACTATATGTAGAAAAGGGATAGTAGTTCCTACAAGATCTAATATATGGAGATTTAACTTTCTCCTCTCTGTCTTCTTTCCAGTCACATTTTTCTTCCATAAAATAAATATTCTGCTTGTTCAGTCATTTCATTACAGTGGAAAAGTATTTTATTATATTTAATAAAGCACCTTCACCTTACTGGAGGGGCAATATTTTAAGAGTGGCTAAAGACTGAACTAAAAATCAGCACAGTTTGTATAAGCTTACTGAATTATCCATATTTCTTCAGATATAAGTTCCACTGAATTCAGGGAAAATTGGTAACTGGTAACTAAATAAAAGGTTCCTGCCTCCATAGCTTAAAAAAGACACTGTTGGATACAAGCAATCATAATATGTCTCTAATCTGGAAAGGAAAGTCATAAATTGACTACTCTTCTGGAGATTTTAAGTACACCAGAGTTGGACTGGACAGGAAGCATCTTCACTTTCATCTATATCTATAAATATATTTTACAATTATTAAGACTTACACCCATTCATTTTCTAATCTTGATTATTCAAATCTTTCCTTCCACATTTCAGATATATGATTAATGCTAATCTTCAACCTATTTTTAGATTCCATTTAGTCCATTTTTTTGTTTCATGTTATG